ACCCCTTCCTTCTGCCTTCACTCAGCAAACAGAAGCCGCCCTGAAGCAGGTGTCACTGAAACATGAGCGGCGGCCGGCCAGGGGGACAGCTCCACTCCAAGTACAGGTGACGTTCAGCGGTCCTCCCTGCGACAGCAGAACGGAAACACGTCAGGGCTTCAGGAAAGGCCCCGACTTAATAATTCTCATCAGCACTTACAAGAATCAGACACACTTGGCTGGGAGCGGTGGCACACACCTGTAATCCCAGCACTTTGGGAGGCTGAGGCGGGCAGATCACCTGAGGTCCGTAGTTCGAGACCAGCCTGGTCAATATGGTGAAACCCCATCTCTATTAAAAATACAAAACTTAGCCAGGCATGGTGGCGTGTGCCTGTAATCCCAGCTACTTGGGAGGCTGTGGCAGGAGAATCGCTTGAACCCAGGAGGAGGAGGTTGCAGTGAGCCGAGATTGCGCCACCGCACTCCAGCCTGGGCGACAGAGTGAGACTTCGTCTCAAAAAACAAAAACAAAAACAAAAACAAAAAAAAAACAGACACACCTGAGAAACACTCCTCTCATCTGTGTTTGAGGCCAAACTACTAATTCTAAAATCAAATTTCTTACTGAGCCTCACTTTCCAAGTAACCTTTTAACCTCATAAAAGTCAGCTGAATTCCTTTTAGCTAAATGCTCACAAAGGAGGGCACAGCCGCTATCCAGAAATGCACACAGGCAGCCATGAGATGGCCCACCTGGCTCAGCGCTCCAGCCCCTCTCTAAACTCTCAGACACAAACGAACACATGGAACACGGGAAACACCAGCAATGCAAAACCATCACTGGAGATCTTTTCACTGGGAGCTGACCTAAGTTCCTGAACTCAACTGAAATAATTACAAGGGGCTCTCATCAAAGTATTTAACAAGGTGTATTTTTTTAAACCTAAAATCTTAAATATTTACTTTATGAAATATTAAGGATAAATGCAGAGTTCTTGAGACATAAAGAAATAGTATAAAATCCTCCAGCAAATAAAAGCAACAATCTCCAGCAACGTCAAAGTACACTTCCTACCCAGTCACCAAGGACTTCTGCTTCTCCCTAACGCCCGCGTTTCTGGTGCAGACGTGGTGGCTGCGAGTGAAAAAGGACGCCCTGCCCGCTCCTGCCAGTTCAGCAATGAAGCCGTGCCCCAGGGATGCCTCGCCACACGCGCGACCACGACGTGGAGACGCTTTACCTGCGCCAGCTCTTTCACGATGTTCTTCTGTTTTTCCACTTCTTCCTGGAGCTCGGCCATTTTCTTCCTGATGTTGATGTTCGTCTCCTCCAGACGTTTACGCTGCAGGAGTGCGCTCTGTGTCACCTCTAACTGTACTTCTGGACCCTCAGGAGGGCTGCCCGGAGGCGGCTCAGGGCAACTGCCTGCATCTAGTGTAGACTGCAATGTGGACGCCAGAAGTAAGCTACTCATCTGCTGTTTCTTTAACAACTCTTTATCCTATTAAAAAAAAAAAAAGGAACTCTATTTTAGGCAAATACTTGGGAGTTCAGTACCTCAAACTGCTGCCTGTTTTTTTTTAATTAGTTTTTAAGACTTTTTTCCCAGCTCTGGGTCGCGTCCTGTCACCAGCGAGCCCTCTGCTGACGAGGTGGCTGGTTCTGGGTTACAAGTGCTGCCTGGTGCGGTCACTGAGTGCAGGTTGCGTGCAGGTGCCACCTGCTCTGCTTCAGGCGCAGCTGAAGATGGTCTATTGCTGTAACAGGC